GAGCAATTTGGTGAAGACGAAAAGCGGTTGTTCTTTCTGCTTTTCAACATTGATACTTTTGATTTATGTTCAATTGGTCGATGCGCTTTATCTATTACAAATACTGTAAGTGGGTGAGTGGTTTAACTACGTATCATCACAACATTTCAGCTTCACAATATTTTGTCATATAAGATCAGGTGTCTCGTTCATTAAGAAGTGCCATGTCAGACTTCAAAAAAAAATAAGTAGAACACCAACGAGAATATCCTAACCAACAGGTACACTACTAAATATTACTTATATTATGCCGTAATTGTCGTCTGATTTACAAGGAACTCAGAATGACCTCCATCTCAATCATAATCAATCACACATTGCATTTGAATATGGGAAAACCATCCGCGCTCAGTTTGAATAAAAGAGTGCTCACCTTCGTCTCCGACCATTTGTGTGATTCTTGCGTGAACTTTAGGGTCGATGCGGATCGACTGAATTGCGAGTGGCAGCACGAATTCTCTTTTCCTCTTCCATATGAAGGTCATGTGCACCAACGAGTCCATGAAGGTCACCCAGTTGTCCTGCCACTTCAGCTTCGCGTATGGGTCTGCAAATTAGGCGCTCTATTGAAGAACTTTTTCAATTCAACGATTACGGCAAAATTATTTTGTGCGCTTAAGTACTAAAATACATTTTTGCGCTCATCACGAGCACTAATATTTCAATTAAAATGAGGTATGTGCAAGTATTATTCCAATTTTGGATTAATTTTACATTCGTGTTTCAAATTCGGTTAGATTCGCATCAAATTTCACTTAGTACTTCGAGAAAGTATACGCGGAGACAATGCTAGATTTTCCAGACTGCTTGAGAAGGCCAAATGGCGCAAAAGCCGGAGAAAATAAAAAAAAGATTTTTGCATTTTGATTTCTATTAAGGAGCGAAGAAACCAAATTGACAATAATGCCTTTCACTAGACTCATGAGGCATTTTGGTGTGCCCTCAAGCTCTCGTAAATACATTAAGAGCCTGTCGTGAACCCTTACGTACGTACATTCACTCTCGTGACGAGCCCCCTTGGTATCAGCAAAGCGCCGAATAAATTAAGGTTCTCTCGCTCGGACCAATGGAAGATGACGACGCGGAACGTAAACACTGAAAACGAAGAGCTGACTACTCGTTGGACTTTTGCCGGCTTCTGTGGGCACTTAGGCGATTACCGAGTTACCGTTGATGAGCAGCATTTACTAGCGCCTGCATGCAATCGCTCTAGTGGCGTGCAGCACATCACCAACTAAGCTCACCCTGTCATCGCCTGGACGCTGAATACGTACAAAAAGTTCTCCCATTGCTAACTCTGCGTTGCTAGTTGCATACGGGCACCACAAAGGCGACCTGCTTAGGAAGCCTTAATGTGCCAGATGTTTTCATGAGGGCGTCTCCATTGGCACGCACGGTTGCCATCCGAACTAATTTTCCGAACTAGAGCTGCTTAAGCTCATGAAGGCAGTGTCCATGTGGGGCGCAAGTAGCACTCGCGCACAAGGAGGCAGCATGGACGGCGGCACAGTGTGTTCGTAACACACGCATACCATCAGGAGCGCTAGACCGCGTGTACTACTGACCAGTTAGCTGAGCCTGCTTATCACAAAAGATGTTGGCCATTTACCCATTCTAGCGCATTGGCCGCCTGCCACTATCACTCCTACGTGCATTTCAAGTGATTCTCCATAAGAACATCGGCGCACAGTTCCGCTACAGTGGTCGCTTCATATGTTATTATGCTTGTTCCCACCACAGTTTGCCATTGCGGCTACAAACGAATCGGCTCACGGAAGCGCTGGTTTAAACTTTCGCAGCAAATATGGCGGCTTTAATCAATGCCGTTTCAGAGCAGGAAGCTTCGTATTAGAAAAAAACGCATGCACATCTTCAACGTCCTAAATTTCAGATGTTTTTATACACTAACTTCCAGAGGCGATTTTGAACTCTGAACTTGAAGATATAGGGCCTCCTTCACATGAAATGAACCTCTTAAAAATAAAGTAATAGCGGAGGCTGAAGAAATCTTGTCTTTTCCTTTCATGGCGAAACTGTAGTAGGTACCACATTGGTAGAAACAAATGATGTAAATAAAAATTGTTCAACCTCTGCATTACATTATTTTTTCACATAACCACCAGAGTACATCCTTCCTTCCTGTGCAGTGCTTCAACAATCCAACGAAAAGAAACTTTCCAGCTATCTCAAAGGAATATGTTTAACGAATTGCTTACAAGTTATATAGTGTGATTTAGTTTCGACGTACTTGAAAAATACTTGGGAATCATTCGAAAATTACTCGGTTGCGTTCGCGCTCAAAGTGATATTCTAATTATCCCACCCAAAATTTTGGTACTCCTTCAACGCTGATAATCATTTAATACTGGCGTCGTTGTGAGTGAAGTGTTCGCATTGTCCTAACTTTAATATTTGAGATATTCAAAAAGGTGGCCCGTTCCAAATAGTTATGGATTACATTGATTACGTAGGTAACAATTTTCAAATCAAGTAAACACCATATTTACTCAGACCATACGATTCAGTGTACCATAAGCGTTAGTAATAAATCACTTGCAACTATTGCTGTTGGGTAGCAATACGTTCCTTAAAAACAAATAAGCCTCTAGGATAATGGCTTTAACCATTCATGCTTTAACGGGTCCGTACTCGTGAGTCTAGTCTGCCCTTACTCTGTGAGACAGCCTTGAGGGCACCTTGAAATAGTTCATAGTACTGGTATCCGCGAAGCCTCAGCTCCTTGTATATCTCCGCGCAGTCCATATCAAAGACGATGCTTTCTGCAGGCTTTCCAGGAGGTTCCTTCTGTAGCACCACCTCACCTTTCTTCGGCTACACGGATACGGCCTTTGCAGACCACTGCTCGACCTTCACATACTTCAAACTCGCCAGTGATGGGCATCATGGTGATCTGGAAATGGATGCAACCTGAGTGCAAGAAAGAAAAGTAAAGAATTGGGTGAGGCATTGCTGTGAATGCCGCTGAAGGAATAACGAAAAGTCTCTCACGTGAAAACCTGACTAACAAAAAAATGTTAAATTTGTACAGAGAACCATAGGACACCTACCTTTGACCTGTGACAGACAGTTGTACTAGCTGGTTTCCGCTTGAACCATATCTTCTTTTAGACAATATAAATTAGGTGTTTTATGTTCGCTTTTACTATTTAAACCACCACGCCTATCTGAGCAGTCATAGCAGAACCCTAGGAAGTTCACCACGGGCGCTTTGTTTTCCTAACTATAGTCAGCAATACAAGCTTGTGTCTGTATGGCAATGCCCACTATCTGGAACACTAGAAAAATAGGCTTGATGGAAGAAAAACCATCATCAACGTTTTATTATGAGCGGGACTGTGCCGATTGCTGAGCAAGGGCCACTCCCATGAGCTGCCATTCTACCCGCTCCTTGCATGCTGCTGCCACGTTATATACATACTTTATAATTGGATCTACCTGCGTAACTTTCGGGCATCGCCTCACACATTTGTCTTCTCTTGTAATCCAGTCATCTTGCTTGACACCTGCTCGTTTACTGGCCCACCATGATTTCTTCTAGTCTCTTGAAGCTGTGCCTGTAATTCTTTTTTCCGTTTCTCGTGGCGTCATCCTCAATTTGTGTTGCAACTTTTCGTAAACCTCCAGGATGCTGTCCCGCAGGTAAGTACCGATTAGACACAACATATATGTAAATTTCTCTCGAGCGATAGTGGTGAGCCGCTATTCATATTTTCAGAATGGCTGCCAACTGTGCTGCATCCTATTGTCATTCTTCCACTTACTTCAGTCTCATGTTTCGGATCTGCCGTCACGACGTGTCTCAAGTAGGCGTATTACTTCAGTATAATGAAAATTTGGCCGAGTTAATGTTGATCCCTAAAGTAAAAGACCTCGATTAACACGGCACACAAGAATAGAAAGACCTAGGGTCCGCGTTTTCCTATTCTAGTATGCCTTGTTAGTCGCGTCTTCTTTGATCTTAAAAACATAATACTTTACCACTTTTGGAGCATCGCAACCTATCTGAAAGCACTCTTTTTCTTTACGTATTTACGTAGGTGCTGCTGGAAGAACTATTTATGCCATTTTCTATATGAGGGGAAGAGAACACTTTGGGTGGAAAAGGGATTATCTTAGGTTGTTAGGAAGCATAAAGATATTTATTACCCTGTGAAACGATGTGTCTCTGAAGTAGACAAAAAGCTGTTTAAATAGTGCTTTAGGACAACTTTGTGTGTGAAGCAGGTACTTTTAGAGATAATATTGCCACGCGTATGTGCCAGTGGTGAGAACAACGAAGCAGCGCGAGGGTTCTTGGCCGAGGGCAAAAGACGAAGAAGTCGTTGCAGTCTGTTCCCTCCACTAAAAGACAATCTTCTGTTTGCGAGAGTTCGTCAAAATAAGCAATAGCCGTGCCTTTAACTATGTGTCGGCATTCTCTGCTGAAATTTGTCAATAGAAGTTCAGCGCATCCGTCAATAACAGTGATCACAGTCCTGGCAACAGAAATGCCGCTAGTGAATGCGAGCTCCTTGATGTGTTCGGCGATGCCAGTACCGTTTTGTAACTTGTCATGGTGCACAGATTCGAGGGAACAACTTCTTGGCGGCAGTATGACGTCGTCATCGGCAATACGGAATCGAGGTGGCTGGTGTTCCTCATCTGTAGCAGTCTCCGAGCTTATAGCGAACGTTACGCTTCTGTCAAGGATGTCAGTCACAGCCCCGTATTCGCGCAAGAAATCCATTCCCAATATGAGCTGTTTACAGCACTCGTGAAGAATGACGAGGGTGGCGACAAAGGTGGAACCAGCGATGAAGAGTCGAGCAGTGCACTTTCCAACCGGTGTCATCAACTGACCTCCTGCTGTTCTTATACTGGGTCCCCGCCATGGCATCTTGGCCTCTCTTAGTCTGTCCGCTAGCTGCAGGCATATTATAGAAAGGTGGGAGCCAGAGTCCACAAGAGCCGTCTCTTAGTGGCCGTCAATGTGAACGACGAGGTCAGCGCTGATACCATCTGTTACTTCAGCAGTTGTCTCATTCGTCGGATTAGTTCTTGCTGTCGTCCTCTTTGGTATTGGTGGCGTCGAGCTGTCATATGTCTGCAATAGGGGCTGTTCGGAAGTTCAATTATTGGCAACCCCACCCCCCGAGGTCGCTGCGTCTAGTTTCCCTGTCACGGGCTAGGGGACCTGCCCCTGGTGACGTCGGCAAAACTACGACGATTAGGTGATGTGCCCCGCGCGGGAGATGGAGAACGTGACCCGGGCCTCATTGGATTCTGCGGTGGTGTGTTCATAGGATTGTCGTTGTTCGTGCGTCGATCGTCGTATGTAGCGTAAACATGGTAGCGAGGAAATATCGAGTACTGAGGGTCGCGATAACGGCAAACTTTGTAAACGTCTCCGGCTTCGCCACAATGAAAGCATACTGATCGACGGTCAGCGGTACACCACAAATCGGTTTTCCGACGCTGGTAGGTAAATGGGTACTCACTATTGAACCACGTTGTGGGCTTCCCATTTTGGTTAAATGTCATTCGTCTTGTTGGCGAGATCGGTGCGGTTGGAAAAGTCCTCGGCGTCGGGAGCGGCTGTGTTGGCAGGGTTGATGGTGGTCCAGTCATTGGAGTCCGCTGTGCCGAAGTCGCGACGACGGGGCGCCGGACTGCATCAGCATAAGTAAAATGTCGCCGCACGTCATTATAGCCGGATGAAGAGACAGCCTGATGGACCTCATCCCGGACAACATCAGCGACAAAAGACAATGCCAGCGTCGGTTTAGTTGCTCGAAAAAAAACCAAGCTGCCGAATCTCCTGTCTCAAATCTCCCGGATGACTTCCCGCAGAGGCCTGTAGTTGTCGCGGAGGCTCGCCACAGGCGTAACAGGGCTACTCGCTCGAACATTGACCGGGTTCTGCTGGCGGTACCGTTGCTGTAGGGCCCACTCAATAGCTGTGACTTCTTTCGTGAACTCAGCTACTGTGGTTAGCAGATTTCTCACAAGCCCAGCAAACAGTTCCTCCTTCACGCCTCGCATTAGATACCGCAGCTTCCTGTCTTCCGGCATCTCGTGATCTGCCCTGCCGGAAAGACGGGTCATGTCCTCGGCGAACATAGCGACGCTCTCATCTGGTTTTTCATTTCGAGCTTCTAAGAGACGTTGCGCATTCTCCTTTCTGTCAAGACTACTAATGGTGTCGATCAGCTGGTTGCGGAAGTCGTCTCACGTAGCCATGCTTCTTACCCTGTTGATGCAACACGTCTGGCCGTTGTCTTTTAGGTAGAAGTACACATTCGCGAGCTTGTTTTCTGGGGTGGCCCACTGGTTGTACTTCGCGCAGCGTTCGAACTGGTCCAGCCAGTCTTGTGCGTCTTCATAGGTCTCACCATGAAAGCAGTCAGGAATTATGGGATTCTGAAGTATCATGTGCGATGGAGCTGCAGTAGCCATGGTAGCTGAGGGAGGCAAGTGATTGCTGGCAGTTTCAGGCAAGGGATTGAGTTCGGGAGCCAGGCCTCGCAGATAGTGGCTGAAACGGTGGACTGGTGTATCGACGGGTGGTAGTGATTTCAGGCTCGAATGTTGGGTCCGCGAAGGGGTGCAAAGCATTAAGACGTACCCAGCACCTCCACCAGTGTGATGACGCGAGATTGACGAGCACACAAAGCGCCTCAAACAAATACGATTTATCGATCGCAGGAAACAGTCTGCAATGACTTCTTCGTCTTTTGCCCTCGGCCAAGACCCTCGCGCTGCTTCGTTGTCCTCATCACTGGCACATACGCGCGGCAATATACTGGGAAAATTACAGTAAAGCAAGTTGAAATGTGAGAAATTATTACAATGATCACTGACAACAAATGAAACAACTTTCACTGGACTCGAAATCAAAACTTCAATTTTACATGTATTTTGAAAATAACGTTATTAACATGCACAGCACAACCTTGCCATGCGCTCTGGTCGGTTGGTAATAAGGTCTAGGCACACAGCCATCAGCGTAAAACAAAGGGCAAAACGCTGTCGATCTTATTTGCAGCATGATTCGTTAGCGCGTTGGTTTGGCTTGATTTTTCTACAGTTTAGGCACTGCTCACGAAAACGGGAAGATGCAGTTCACGAAGAACAAAGAAAGAAAGCAAACCAATTAGATCAACAATCGTTTTTGCTGCCGTTACTTTAAATGTTTGATATAATCTGTGTGGGTGCATGAGCATCATTATTTACCCCATGAAAGCACTTACCCGATGGAGGCAGGATTGTAAAACGTTGAATTTTTATGTCCTCAACAATTACAGGAGTCTCGTTGATATGCCTTCCATACTGGCTGGCAATGAACTGCCAAGCAAATAATACATAGCCAGTGCCAGAAACAGGACACGGCCATCTAGCTGATGACCAGCGAGGTACTTGTCCTTGCTGTGGCTTCTAGGTCGACTTTCAAGACATCCTCCTTGGCCTGCAAGTGCCCACAAATTTGTGCTGTTTAGCAAGAACAATGCGTTATTTAACTCGTTGAAATAATATGTGGGCCATAACTCTTAGCTCTTGCACTACAAAAGGGCGCAACAAAACCTACTTCTGCTTCACTATGTTCTACAAGACTTCGAGAGAACCGCGGTTTTTGCACGCATGCGTATTTTACTCTTAAGGCATGCAGACTTGTATATGATGAAGATCACAATTTGTTGCACAAAGAATAAGGTATTGCTCAAACTTTTTACGACTTACGCGTGAGAAATATCGTGTACTAGGGTAAACACGTACGCCCTTGTAAGAGGGCAAACGCGTGCATCAAGCACGCTAGATCGGTCAACTTGAAAAGTTCATCACCTGGTTAAAAGGGCACCGTGGCATGTTGTTTAGAATACGCTACTACACTAGAGAATATTACTGGTATACGGAATGCCATTTTTTTTGCCTTCCTTAGCAATCACGAAAAGCTTGAAGTTTTTCCCAGAGTGGTGGCGTTTTGCAAAAAACGTTATTGACATTTAGTGCAGAACGAGTTATTTGAGTACTATGCTGGTGCAAAATTACCTATAGAAAAAGAAAAATTGATATGACTTTGAAGAATTTCTGAAGCTTTTGCGATGCTATCTTCTCTCACGTTCTCACTCTATCAAGTCATTGGAAACATACGCAGATACCAAAAGTAAAGACTTACAGAGCAATTGTTGTGCAGAACGCTGACCTCCTGCACTTGTGATGGTATTTGCTAGCAGCGTTACAAGAGTTGGCTGGTGCAAATATATATTCACAAGAAGGAACTGGTTCACATAAAACTTCTGGTAGTAAAAAGCTTAATATACTTATTCGGTACACGCTACAAGGGAACACAAATATATACTGCGTCAGTCGCTTGTTCTTCGTATTTTTTATTTTTGTTACATTTTTTAAAAAGAAGCAGTGAACCAGTTAAACCGAAAAATAATTTTGCTAGGTTTCTGTCCTAGCCATTTTCTTGGCTATAGAAAGTTCTACTACCAAGCACGTTTTCTCACGGTCCTAATATGGCGCCATTTAAGATAAATTGTTCAGTGACGACACCAACACGTACCACCGCTGACGTAGTGTGTTCAGTGCACATGTAAAGGCCTATTAAGTATTGTCAACTGCTAAATTGTCGTAACAGCACATGACGGCCGTATGCTACAAAGTTTCTTCTTAAGTGAGGTCGAGTCTCTGCCATCACTTAGTCGCGTTAGGAGTGTTCGACAAGCCACGAAGGAGTTTTAGACACAGTTTTTATTCAGCTGTTATAAACGATATTCTGTGTCATCAGACAGCTGTGTCTTTTCAGTGCGCCTCTGCGCAGAAGATTCATTTGTCTCTGAAGAGAGATGCCATTTAAATACATACCTGAAGAACAATACAAAAAACACAAAAAACACAAATGAAAAACAATACGCCATTTTAACTATCAAATTAGTTCTCGCTATCACAATACCTCATTGCACACGCATTATATGTGCACCAGTGCAGAATTTTTTTTAATTTTTAAAACAATCTCGTCACCAAAATGGCATCTGAGATATCACTATATTATAGAAGATTGGGCTAAATGCTAGGTAGTTTGCGCGTTCTGACATTCCTTAAGCAAGTTACTACCAGTGGGACAGGCAAGGTAAGAGTAAGGGGGGTTCGAACTTCCCGAAATTTTTCCATTTAGTTCGCGTATATATACACGCACACATGCAAACGCACGCGCGAGCATGCATAAAATGCAGTTGAACCACCCTCCCCCTGAACGCGATTCTCGTTAGCCCCACATTACTACACGAATCGCGCAGTATTCATACAGACGAGCTGTCAAACACATTTGTAAAAAATACGTCTGAGGATTGTGTGGATCTTTCACGATGTAAGGAAATGTGCAGATATCAGCTCGTTAAATTTAAACGTTGCCAAGTACCTTGGTTTTGTGGTCAGGCATGTCTCAAGCTGTCGCATGGTCACGAAGTCTACAGATGCACTCGGCAACATTGGACGCTCTTATCTCACTAACTCGTTACAGAGAGCAATCATTACACAATTGATTCTGCAATAAATATGTCGCACTGCTTCGTAATCCAAACATATAGATTACCTGTTCAGGCGAAGGAAAGTCCTTCCAGTGTGCAACATCCCAGCTCTGAGAATGGTCCCAGCCGACCAAGTGGCCAATGTTTGGGGTACCGCGGGGCAAGGGCCACGGAACTGGAGGGTATAGCACTGACAAGTCCATCTCCACTCCAAGGGTATGAAGTTTACCCAACGAGTGCAGAAAATATTCCACATTGTCCACATGGCGCTTCATGAGGCCCGCGCAGCTGGCATCAGGGCCTACAGCTCTTCGCAGGATCGCCTGAAACAAGTTCAAGCAAACGCTCAAGGAGGAATAATTTAGATGGACATGAACGAGCATTGTAAAAAGGGCTGCTAATCATCAATGCAACTTCCTAAAAAATGACAGCCAATAATACTGCTCCACGTGATTTATGACAACCACAATATAGTGTAAAAGGAGGAGAAATGCCATTTTTTTTTCTTCCCGGCAATTTGCGAGGTACATGGGTGCGGGAGAGGTCTATTTTTTCCCATAATCAGCACCTATTCAAACAGGCTCGACGAACACATGCCACTTCACAGAGATCAAGGATTTCCCAAAAGATGCTGCTGTAAGCCGGAGTCCCGCACGCGTGTTTGAACATTCGTAATAAGACCAAGAAAAGAAAGACGAAAAAACTCTATAAATAATAAAAGTCATCGTGCTGAATGAAATATATTTACTTGCTCACTAGTAACTCCCACAAGAGTGTAGAAAGAGCAATTTCAGATTTATTGATAGGAAGGAGGTGGCTGAAACCACCTATTCATCACTGTGGGAGTGTGCGGGCACTGTCTGCGTATATAGAGGCTCTCTTGAGAAAAAAAGAAAAAAACATGCATTTCGTGCGATAACTGGTTCGAAGGAAATTTACGACGGGAGATCTGTGAGAAGAAGTAAATTTGAATAGTATGAATCTGTAAAGAAAGAGGTAGGTATTGCAAAATGATTTCATGATGTTTAATAGGCACATTATCAAAAACTCAGGCCCTTCAACGTTCAGCTAGATCAGCACGTTTTCACTATTAGATGCGGAAGCATCTTATACTCGCGCCTTGTAGTGCGCCGTCCGCGCCGTCCGCACCGCTTCTCGAACATTCGACAGCTGACGCGCGCGCATGCGCCGTCGCGCCGTCGCCCACTCTTCCACCATCTGTGCATCCCTTCCTCTCTACACACCGCGCGCGCTTCACTCCTCCACCATCTGTGCACCCTTCCTCCTCTACACACCGCGTTCGACATCTACAATTCTCCTGATTCTCCAGTGGACGCGCAGGTGGCGTCGCGCTTCGAGAACATTCAACAGCTGACAGTGCATGCGCCGTCGTGCTGTATATACTCAAGGTCGGCGCTCGCTCGCTCAGTTGCCGCTCGTCGGTTGGTTTGTACGGCGCGTCGACGTCCAAGGTCGCGGTGAAATGAATTCCAACGAATCCACAAACACAATGATCGACGTCCCTTCGACCAGCGCCGCCCTTTCGCATACGTGTGTACGTGTTCACTCATTTAACACCCCTCCTACAACCACGTTAACCAATTTAGCCATCGACCCAAGTAAGTCGCAATTTAACACCCCATTTCACAACCACGTTAACCAATTTAGCCATCGACCCAAGTAAGTCGCACTTTAACACCCCGTTAACCAATTATATGCTCCGCATCCTCCTCAGTGTTCCCCCGAGGGAAGCTGCGGGCAATTTTTTTACGGTAGTTTGGACCGCTACGCAGGTATTTCAGAAAAAAAAAAATTGTGAGTGACAATCGGGAAAGTGTACTTGAAACTGAATGACAGTTCGACTTCGGTCTCTAAGTGTGAGTCGCTTCTGCATCATCGTTTTGGCCACCAACCAGCATCCCTTGGTATTCGCGCTTCAGAATGTGTCAAGCAGAGTGACAAAAAATGCCAGTAAATGTGAGGTAGCTTCTGGGAATAAAATTGGCCCCAGAAACATAACGGAATGTGCAAGGAGTGGACGAACAATATCACCGCGGGCTGGTAGCAGCAGCGACTACTACGTGTAATGCCGGAAAGTAAAAGGCGGTTGTCATGCGTTTTTTTTTTTCTAGAAGTGAGCAAACGGTGGTACTGACAACCAAATGATTGATTGATATGTGGGGTTTAACGTCCCAGAACCACCATAAGAATATGAGAGACGCTGTAGTGGGGGGCTTAGGGAATTTCGACTACCTGGGGTTCTTGAACGAGCGCGCAGATCTGCACACACGGACCCACAGCATATTCATCCTCATCGAAAACGCAACCACCGCAGCCGGTGTTTGATCCCGCGACCTGCGGGTCAGCAGCCGAGTACCTTAGCCACTAGACCACCATGGCCAGCCTACTGATAACCGAATTGAGTAAAATTAAAATTCTATTCCATCAGTCTTCGAATGATAGGACTACCAATTTTAAGCCAAGCTTTCAATGCTGCAACGGTTTATTTGAAATACAGATTCGCAAACTTTTGCACATTACATTATTTTTATTCTTACGCCACCAAATATTTATGCTATGATAACGTAAGGAGAGGTAAGCCCATGTTTAGCAGTAACGATAGCAGCGAAAACTGCTTTCGAAATATATTTTTTTATAGTACGATAAACCCAGGAGTGACATCTGTGGCAAGGTATTACTTTGTATGAAGAAAATATATCCAGCAAAAAAAACGAACACTGGAGAAGCTGACTGTGTGCTAGTCACGTTTGTCAGGACTACAAATAAAGTTCCTTCACCCAATCATTCACAGAAAATGGAAAACACAAAAAGCAGCTATGCTACCAACTATTTATTCACGACCGTGAATAAACAGTTGGTGACATAGAGTATGCAATCATGTGGTTACATATTCATGTTACAACATTTTTAGAAAATGGAAAAAAATACAATAAACTAACGTACAACCACTGTATGTAACCTTTGCATTATCATTTACTCGAGATCCTAGAAAGAATTGCACGAGATATTTTTTTCCTTTCTGTCCAACGCCACAGAGCTATCATGAAAACATTCCTCGCCAATCATCGCAGTGTGAAATGATTCAAGTATTTCCCATGCATTTTTCTTCTCTGTTTCCTCTGTTTGTTTTTTATCTTGATATATTTTCGTGATGCAATCCACTAACTAGCCCCACAAGAAGTGGTATTTGTGGGGCTTTGTCACCAGCTTTTAAAATACACGAAAGTCGAATACTGTGCCATCATTAAAAATTGCCATCAAGCTTGGATAATGGTAGCGGGTTGAGAGCACATTCGTATAGGCTAGAACTGAGTCTTAAAGGGAAAATGTTTCACTCCAGTGAGGAGTAAAGGTGCGGCAGTCCCGTAAAAGCTCGAGATTTGTACACTTTTCTAATTCAGTAAATAAAAACAACAAAACATGGCCTTTCGCTCTTCCAAGTTTTTTTTTTCCTGGTTGCTTTGCACTTTCTATTTATTTATATTTATTTATTGATACTGCAGGACAGTATGCTGGCTCATGAAGAAGGGGCAAATACAATAATACAATGACAAGGCATTCACAAAAAGACTAACAATGTAAGAAGAAAACGTACAGTGCAAGACACATGGGATTCACGACACAACTGCAAGAAATGTTTAAACACTAAATATTAAGAGAAGTGGTTTTCCGATTCTTTTGTAAAGGTTTCCGATTGTATAACGTGAACAGGTAAAAAGTAGTAGTCTTTTATGGTGCGCGGGAAAAAAACTGTTCATGTGAGATTTGGTTTTGGCGAATATAGGCGTGAGAGAAAAGCTGTGTCTGTATCTAGTCGACTTGGTGCCAGTTATTCGAAACGTATGCGAAAGATATTGTCTAGTTTTGATATTATATGTTTTATTGGGGCACCGAATGATATAGATTGCTATTGAATTTGTTTTTTCGATATTCTCTATTAATCGCACACAACTATTCTTGCTGACTGCCTCAGCTGATACGGCGAAATACAGCATATAATCTTTAATGGATAAAGAATGAGCACACACCTGCACACTGATTAGCCTGAATATGTGACCCTCGGCTTAGTGAGATCAAGATAATAGGCAGAAGCAGCAAGACTTTAGCGCCAGAGTTATTGGAGGCGTTTCAGATGAAGAAGAGAGCACGGTTTGCATTCGTGATACACCTGTTTCACATTACCGACATGAGATGCAGCTTCTTGACACGCGATATTGAACAGTGTTTTTTTTTTCGATTTTTGATGCATGCTTGCGCACAGAGTTTTAATCTGGTGGCACGCTTGCTTTTAAAGTTGAGCACCCGAACTTTCTCCTCATTCGTACTTCTTTTTTTCTGAACAGTGTTTTTTTCAGGTTCATGCTTTCATGTACTTCATTATTATAACATCTCTTTCCCTACAACCAGTGGCCCAGAATAAGAGAATTTTGTTATCTCGCCTTTGCTAGTAACGTAGGTTTATCACCTCTTGTCGCAAGCTGTAGTTAATTACACACGTGGTGCCTAAAACCAGTTCATAATTGCCCTTAATTTGAAGGCAATTGATGAGCCCTGGTAAGCACTTGTACGTGAGTTCAAACCGAATACACTAGATTTGGATGCTTTTCCTCATTTCATCTATATTTCTTCGCACGGAAGTTCAGCGAGAGTCATCGCATCGTGACACTGGGATAAGTGGTTATTCGATGAACAATACGTAACTAAATAGGTGGTGGTGTTCGACGTTTGCTAGTGCACTAGGGATCCATTCACTCATGGTCCCTGAATAAGGGGGTGCGTTTCCTGCATATATGCATCAGCCCACGGCGTCCATGCGGTGATGCTATTGTCTTTTCACTTGTATCTACTAGTGCTTTGTTTTTACGTGTTCTCTTTACAACTGCCAACGCTGTTAGCAACGCATGGCGGAGAACGTGCTGGAACATGCAAGAAGCTCCGCAGCTGCTTGAACTCATTCTGTTGATAGTACACGGTGGACGCGAATACTGAAGTTTAACCAAGAGTTCTCGTGAACATCCCCAATGGAGCATTAATGTTATATGACACATGTATTTATGCCGACGCACCTCACCACAGTTCAGATCATTGACGGCCGATGCTTCGTTGACGGCTATCGATGTGGAGCGTGCATTGCTTGTATAGCGTCGGACTTCGTTGCCCGGGCACACGTTCACCTAAAGAATGTTTCACCTAAACCAGCCGACTGTTGGCATCTTTAGCGTCACGATCATGCGACACTATACATTCAACGCGACAGATGTCAGAGATAAATCTTTTTGAGCGAATCTGGTTCATAGCATATACCAAGCCTTGAGTTGAATCGAAAGCCAAAATTTAAAAAAGAGACATACCGGAAACATCCGAGAGTATACACACGAAACAATCGTGCATTAGCAGCATCCGCCCGCTGACGAGCATAGGTTTCTAACGCCTTATACAGAAAGCTTTATTTTTCAGTCTATCATCATGTCATACAGAAAAGGGGGGGAGCGAACTTCAGCAGAGCACAGAACCTTTCTTCCGAGGATTATGCATCTGTGCCCAAATAGTGATACAGAAGCTTTGAGTATGGCCTAAAAAAATGGTTGAGCACTGTAAACACTGGCATACCACTCACTTGCAGGAGGCAATGTGGTCCTATCTCCAGCAAGATAGCGTCCTTGGGCACATGTTTCAGAGCCTCGCAGAACAGCACTGGGTTTACGAAGTTGTTCGTGTGGTACTCGGCGGAGCATTGCAGTGCACCAGGTTCTTTCCAACGGCTCTCAGGCGCCGACGTGCTGATCCAGCGCTTGCTGCGTGGCTTTGGTTGAGGTATAATCTACTCGAGTGGCAAAATATTCAAAGCAATGAGTGAGGGTCATTGGCTTCTGAAAGCTGACGTTTTATGTTATCTGAATTATATGAATCCTTATAGTTGAACATCATAAAAGCACAATATGATTACTGGAGGGCTCCGGAAATCTCAATCACGCGGAATTTGTTGTCGTGCACTAAAATTTTGGTACACGATGCTCAAGTATTTTTGCCTCCTTTGGAAATGCGGCTGCCATGTCTCAGATTCGATCTCTCGACGTTATGTAATTTTTCTAGCCCATGGTAATGAATACCAACATCTGCGCAATGAAAGTGGCCAAATAGGTCTTATTTTGTCTTTAAAAACCAATGTAGAACCACTCAGAGGAAACTTTATTAAGATAACGTATTTTTCTGTGTAACATAAGCTACTATAATAAAAGAGCCCTGGCGGAATGCCTGGCTTTTGCCAGGCATTCCGAAAAAAAGAAAAGAATAATGTGCAGCCAAAAATCTTCAATACATGTCTTACCACAGGAAGCAATATGTATTCGCTGAAGACGACTCAAAAGCGAAATAAATGGTTATAGTTTTTCTAATGTGTGCACATCGAACCCAACTGCAGGCACTTTGAATGATGCGAACAGCCAACAATAAAACAGCAGGGAAAGAATAGGAGATAATATTGGAAGTAATAAAAGTAATATATATGAAGAATAGTGGACGAAAAGATAACATGCACAGGCAGGATCCGAACCTACGACATATGAATAACACGTCCGAAGCTCTACCACCGAGCCACGTCGGCGAGCACCACCCGTCCACTGTAGAGGGCATATATATGGCTATTTGCTATTTAGGTAAATAATTAGGTATATATATATATATATATATATATATATATATATATATATATTATATATATATATTATATATATATATATATATACAGATATATATACACTGCCACTCTGTGTTATCAGAGGCAGAAAAAAGAAGCGAGCGTATAGGTGGGTGGCTGCTGTGGCCAAGTACGCAGCCGTTCGCTTCGAGTTCCTGTTGATAGTTTCCTCTCGCGACAGACTGGCGGAGGTGCTGCGTACTGCGAAATCCTATGCCTGTTATTTTGAGCAAAAACCAACTAATGCCAGTGCATTAGTGTCTGCTGATAGCCTTCACCGAAGATACCGTCGCCTTCAAAGGCTACCTTCCCAGTACGTTTCCTTGGAAAGTTCCGTGAGGCAAAATTTGCCACAGCCGCCACACAAACGTAAGATGACCCCTTTTTTGGCCTACTCAGTGCCATCAAAACGCCTCGCACGCTCAATCACAGCGACGCCGGTGGAGATGCGGAAGACTGACTCGACCAATTTGGCTGGGTCGTTGGAGTCAACAACTGGCCCAATCGCCCTAAGTTGAAGAACGTCTATATCTCCCTTGTAGACGCAGCAAGATTGTGATAAGGGAACCACGAAGCTTCATTCACGAGTTGGCAAGAATTGCATTGGCAGCTTCACGATGCCTGCAGACGACAAACGGAAAGATAGGAGTGGACAGGCACTACTTCCCGCTTTACCTCTACAACTAGTTTACACTGCTAGTTGCTACAATCCACAACTAGTCACCCTCTACAACAACTATTCAAGGACGATGTCACCTTCGCCTGGCGTCCTGAACAACCCTACGCTTCCGCAACCAACAACAACGCCTACAGACACCGCCGAACCTTGGCCATTTCGACAATGAAGCAGACACATATGTCCACACGGATGCGAGTAAACTTTGCCTCGGAGCTGTTCTCTTGCAATATCAAGATGGCGTGGAACGCGTGATTGCCTACGCTAGCCGCACGTTGCCATCTGCGGAAAAAAGTTACTCAATGACTGAAAGTGAATGCGTGGTGATTGTATGAGCTCTTACGAAATTCAGGCCATACCCGTATAGACGCCCCTTCCAGTAACGTCATTGACCACAACTCCCTCTGCTGGCTGGTGAATCTGAAATATCTTTCCGGTAGTTTCACAAGTTAGAGCCTTCGGTTACAGGAGTAGACCTCTCCCTGTTTGTAAACAGTGTGACGTCACTGTGGGCACCCCGCCCACCATACCCTCTCTCAGAGCTGGTGCTGGTTGGCAAGAAAGTTCCGCCGGCAGCATCTTTCTGCATAGCAGAGCTATGTGTCTTCATGCTTTCGACAGAAATTTCCACATTGCTCTGTTCTAAAGTCACAGCTTTTGAAAAAAAGGGGGTCGCGGAAGGATCACTGCTCATAGTGCGTAAAATTGCTCGTCGTATATAGATGGACGCAGAAACTTTATTTAGACTACTGAGAGGCGCGACAGTGGGCTTCACCCACGTAGATGGCAGTCACAAAAAAGTCTGACCTTTTTAGAAAGCGAACGTTTCGAATGTACATGGTGACTGGCACTTTGAAAACCATTTGCATGATATGAATGTAAACTTAATGAATATCCATCGTGGCATGTGCCACGCAGTTTTAAACGACGTACATCATTGGCGCAGCATAATGATGAGCTGCTTTGCGTGACGTCACGGATAAGATTCTCAATCATTGCGCAAAAGTCTTATTGGAAATGAATGAAAAAAAAGAAACGCTTCTTGCCGTGGCTTAAGTCAAGGTCAACATATCATCGTGAAAATCAAAGTGAAATTTTGCCGCTGCGTTTCTCAATAACCCGGTGAAAACTATAGTGGCGTAAAACCCGACAACGTAAATATATATAATATTTTATGACCCAGTTACCTTGCTGCATTTAATAACTATAACGTGTTTTCGTACATATATTGCTTCTTTAGTTCTGATACACGAACTTCTAATGCGCAATGTCACTTCATAGGGATCCAGCCGTAAAGTACAAAGTAGATAAGAAACGAAAGTCTCCGCTGTTATCAAAAGCACGTATAACGAATCCGTTAATACGAGTTATAGCCGTGGTGCATGTTGTAGCGTTGCCGATTCTGCATGCGTATTCGTATATATCAACTGGCGATCATACACTCTTATTTTTTTGCACGCCGCACATACGCTGAGATGCACGCACTCGCAAATGATCGCGTCAAATGTATTTTTACCTTGACTAAAATGTCAGATCGTAAAGTTCCATCGACAACCAAGTAGTGTAACTGCCCCACAACGAATAACTGTGTTTTCGCAGAAAGTACACATCACGTTATTCACACTGCGCACACGGCACACAATAGTCCCAGTTTCATCATCCGTAAAGGTCAACCAATATTGTCGATGCCTTTGAACGCAGACTGATTTATATGTGGGGTTTAACGTCCCAAAACATACGGTTACGAGAGACGCCGTAGTGGAGAGCTCCGGAAATTTTGACCACCTCGGGTTCTTTACCGTGCACTCAAATCTAAGCATACGGGCCTACAGCATTTCCGCCTCCATCGGAAATGCAGCCGCCGCAGCCGGAATTCGATCCCTTAACCTTTGGGTCAGCAGCCGAGTACCTTAGCCACTAGACCACAACGACGGTGCTTTCAACGCACTCTACACGTCACAGTTAACACTACATATTTTTGAAGGCGACAGTTCCTCGCACAGGCTGCCGTGCCTGTTCACTTCTACAAGATAAACAGCTAGCCAGCGTTGCGAATATTTCATCACGAACTTTACCACGCACCTAGATGTTCTCTGACACATATTGCAGCTAAGGTTGCCACTTTCATACGAAGATTACACTTTCAAAAAGAAAAAAAAAACTTGCCCGAACACCAAGCGACTGCACCCCACTCAGCCACCGGCGGAAGTGTTTTGCCGACAACCACCTTGCACGTGCACCGGTGCCGTCATGGTGTGACGTACACCGGTAGAGGTCTATTCAGTGTAACCATAGCTTACAAGCCTAGAAAGAAACACACCGATACCGACGGTATCCGACACCGACACCAACTTGTACTACTGATTGATTACCTTGAGGGACGTCGCCCACAACATCCACGCCAGTTTGCGCGTGTCTTCTCATCTTTATGTCTACGCCAAAACATGCTCTACAAGCACAACTTTCATCATACAGAAACTGTTTACCTCCTATTCTTTCCTACTGCTCTCCGCAATTACATTAATCCTGTGGTTGAGCGGAACGATACACGGAGCAGCAGCTGCCTACCACCCGCAGACTGACAGGTTAACCAAACGCCTTAACAAAACGCTCACAATTATGATTTTGAAATATGCCGCCATGATTACAACCGTTCAGACGAAATCCTTTTGTGTATCACATTTGCCTACAACACGGCTATTCATGAGACTATTAACTTTGCTCTTTCTCGTCTAGCTCACGGCCGCGACATCACCACAATGCTTGACATCTTGCTGCGACCAACTCTGCCGGGCATTACTGACCGGGATTCACTTGTATTTGTTGTGTATGTCGGTGTAGCCCACCGGACTGCGCACTTTCGCATTTTGTCGCGGTAAAATCAAGATGCTCGCCGGTAAAACACCCATCGCAGAACTGTAACATATAAACCGGGTGTTCTAGTTTTGGTTTAAACTCTCATACGTAAACTTGGGAGCTCAGAGAAATGATCTCGTAACTTCGGACCCTCCCGAGTTCATCGTCTTGGGGAATTCAACTACGAAGCTGTCCCAGCAGACACGTCGCACCGTTCTCGAAGACCACGCTCCTCAATTGTGATGCATGTCTCTATGATCAAGCCGCACCACTTGCGATGACTGCAAGTCACAAAATTTGTGATGTGAAACTTGCCTTCAGGACTATTGTACGTTTTCTTTAATCTTGCCCTTGTGCTTTTCAACGGACAAAAATATTTTCGGCTGCTTTCCACTGTTCTTTGGAGCTGCGGCATTCATACGATACCTTTTCATTTTTAATGTGAATTCATTACTTAGTCAGGCTATATGTCAGGTGTCCGGCGTTGTTCACAGCGGTGTCCGCGCGCCAGCAGGTGTTGCTTCTCTAGTCTCACTCCCTCTCCCATGCCAACAGCTGCGGGCACGTACGCTTCTAGCAACCAAAGCATGTGATGCGCCTCGCCTCTAGCAGCCGGAGCATGTGGTGCGAGAGAGTTGGAGAGGGTAGTTTCGTGCAGTGCTTGGCTGCTCCTACTCTCATCATTCGCTCTGTATTGTCCCTCGCCCCACTCGCTCGTTCGCCCGCACCTCACTTTCGATCTGTCACTGGCTTTGCGCCTGTCAAAGACATCCAAAATATGTGCTGACGACGCCCCTGTGAAACGCCAACGCAAAGCAGAGAACGCTGGCGCCTCACTCTCCCGTTTGCTCACTGCTCACTCTCAACCGTTCGCTGGCTGAGCGCCTCTCAAAGTGACGGAAAAAATATGTGAAGTCGAATGTCTTAACACAACAGTACCCTCTCTCAGCGCAAGAAATGCATTCGCATTTACTTACAATACCCTTCGGGCAGGTGGGGACATTTTTTACGCTATGGATCCTAATCCGGTGATATCGCAGCGTGCCTCTCCATTTCATTATTTGCAGACGGCTTGCCACTGACTCCCCTTCACCATTAGGACTTCGCCACGTCCATTTACGGTTAGCTTGTTTTCTGACGAAGGTATTCAAAATCAGTAAATAATTACGCTGTGTGAACTCTACTAGTGGCTCTCCTCTGCATTTCTAGAGCCGATGCCATGTTCCCCCATAGCTTGGTCTCCAGCCTGTTTTTTGCCTACTGTGGCAATAAAGTCACCCATCAGTATAGTATAGTGTGACTTTACTTGATTAAGGACTGATTCCACGTCTTCATAGAAGCGTTTAGCCACATCGCCTTCATGGCTTGATTTAGGTGCGCACACCTCTAAACCTTCATTATGTACTTTTTGTTAAACATAATTACATTACTTGCCACCCTCCCACTGAAACTAGAGTAGTATTTTATGGTTCAATCAATATTTCTGTGTATGAGAAAACGCACCCTTAGTATTTTCTCTCTTCTAATTCAGTAGAATACGACGTGTCCGTGTTTCTGCACTGAAGAAGTCTCGCTTGTCCTCCTAAGTTCGTTTTGTTCTGTTACATCCCATTTGACACCGTAATTCTTTGAGTAGCACAGCTAGTCTAGCCTCAATAAATAGTGTTGAAGCGTTCAACGTAGCCACGTTGAGTGCAAATGTCATGTCGTGAGAAACTAATAATGCTGTCACAAAGTACGAGTATATGTGACGTCGTGATGAAGTCCCATGGTGACGTCATCAGAAAATATTAAATCTCTCTTGTCGATGCCAGCTACACTGAAAGGTGACCCCACCGACGGTAAATTTTCAAATATGATGAAGCATCAAAAAGGTTCGTCTTCATTTAGGTATATTGAAAGTCAACGAAATTTGTTTTGTGAATTGGAGAGTTATTGAGCTTTCAAATAAGTACAAGGAGCTGTGTGGGGTAAAGGAGAACTTATGCACCTCTTCTGAAGACCTGGAGTGCAAGAGATAGGGCAGGTTGGGTTTTCGCACATCAACGTGTTCAGTGCATATCATAAACAAAAAACAATGGCCTTGCCGAGCCGGTGAGCACCAAAGTGCGGAGCACTCTGGTCTATTCTGGTGGCCGGCTCGACCAGATGTTCTTTCCCGCTATGTGCTGAAGTAGTTGAAGTTGTTCTGATGGTCTATAAATCAACTGTGCCACTTTTGTTACAAATATGCCAGCAAGATATTCAGCCAGATTCTTAAACATGAGCTTACTGGGCAGTTTTTATCTGCCGCCGTTCTAACGCAATTACCTTTTCAAGGGCGCTACGGAAGAGAGGGCCGATGTGGTGGACGTACTTTGTGTGAAAAGCAACTCCCATGCTGTCCACCTTGCGGGCGAATACGTTCTCGGCTTGTAGCTGCTCGACCATTTTTTCTACCGCTTCGGCAGTGCCGGAAACTGTCACAGAATCTTCAGCGTTGTGGCACGCAGGGTACACGTCGGGAGGACATCGCCGTTCTGCCTCTTCCCACGTGAGACCTAGAGATTTATGTGTAGTTTAAAGTTCTTGAAAGCAATAGAAAATCCATGTTTAGAGAATTATACTCTCCCGGACAATGGACATCAATAACATTCACGTGCAACATATCTAGAAGTCGCACTTCCTTATGTTTTCTACTATGTCATGTAGCTCGGAAAAAGGCAGCATGTTGGCGTAGTTGAAATGGCACGCAAGCTGAATGCACGAGTTGGGTAAAAATGATTTCCAATCAGATCTGTCTGGCGAATGTACAAAAAATTTCTGCGTGCCTGCTAAAATTATTTTTAATGTATGCAGTGCGCCACACGTTGAGCTGGTACTCTGAGAAATGTACTGGGACGGTAAGTCATTTCATTTATACATTTTTCAATAAGGCTGCTCCAAACACACAGCAGAGCACATACATTGGCAAAAAGGAGACATATGGCAATAGAGCTGCTACATGGTCATTATCTTTAGAACACAGCATAAAAAGCCTTCTACGAAAAAACAAACAATTCGGAAGAAAAGATGCAAGAACCATAAGATCTCTGCATTCTGAATACATGTTCATAAAATATATTAATATTTGAAGGGATGTAACGCTTCCTAACCATGACTTGTTTAGGAGAGACACCATAGAAGAGGGCTCTGGAAATATCGACTAACTGGTGTTTTTTAACGTGTAGCAAGAGTGGGTAGTAAATTGGCCTTGAGCGTTTTCACCTTTATTTTAAGTGCAGTCACCGAGGCCGCAATTCGATTCTGCGATCTGCGAGCCGCTGACTATGAGTACGCGCAACAGCAAAATGCAATGCAATAGGAGAGGCAACGGTGGCTGCGCGTAGGCTATGAGGTGGTGGAAGGTTTAGGCCAATGACAACATGCCCGATTTACGCGTTTTATTTGTGTGAAATCAACGTAATATCAACCTAGCAACATCTACCTATAGCGACAAAAGGCCATATTATCATGTTCAGCCTGACTATTTCCACTGAAGGACAAACGCCTCTGCCATGTTCCGCCAGCCAACTTGGTCATGTGCTTGCCACTGTTAGTTTATACCCGCAAACTTTCTGAACAGGGCGGCTTCTTTTTTTAACACAATTTGTCCGTCGTGTTTCAGAATATCTCATGTAACTTCATCCTAAGCAGTCTTTCCTCTTTGAATTTCCTGCAAGGCTTTCCTGATTTATTCTCTCATTACTGGTGAGTTGTACTCTGGGTTACTCCAAAATGGTTGTCCCGACTACTGTACAGATTAGTCCTCCGCTACTTTTACTATCCTGTCAATAATGATGGGTACTTTGCCTTCCTTGCCCCGCAGTGCATAAATGTTGTTTTTACCTATCTCGAACGCCCTCTTCACCGCTTTGATGCTTCCCCCGTTCTATTGAGCATGGTAAACTATCTAGGTGTTAAACCTTCCTAAATAGGATACCTAACGCTATATAATCTATTTCTTAATCTCTACCAGTCATATTTTCTCTGTTGTCTTCGAGATTTTTATGCTTTGATGTTCTTTTTAGAGGTTCTTCGTCCCATGGGACAGCTTGCCGGTGTCCTGCCTAACTTCGGTATCTCCAACTTTCACTGGACAATCTGTAATCATACTGGACATATCATCATTCATTCAGTCATTGCTAAGGCCGGTTTCCTCGAGAATAATAGCCTGCCTAACTTCGGTATCTCCAACTTTCACTGGACAATCTGTAATCATACTGGACATATCATCATTCATTCAGTCATTGCTAAGGCCGGTTTCCTCGAGAATAATAGCAGAAAGCGCAGTGACGTGAATGTTAACTCACCGCAACTTATGTGTATACAGCATCAAGCTAATGCTAGGTGCTGAATGAACTGTTCGCCGAGAAACGTGTCTCTGCTGCCTTCTTGTTTGCAAGCTACAACAACTGAGGACGAGGATGTTGAATCGAATCTGCTTTGCGAAAGGGCGGATTCCGTGAAGGAATGTGGCAGGGCAGAGTGCACGCTCGGCATGGCAAAGATGTGGGAATTCGATGCATTCCTGAAAGATGGTGATGAAGTCTTTGGTTCGTGCGTAGAAAAATTCCGGCACTACCGCCAAGTAGCCAGCGTACAAGAAGAGAAGCTTAAGAAGTCTGCCTTCATAACGACCATTGGCAAGGACGGGTACAAGACGTTCAAGAATTTGCTTCTATCGGCGAACCCTGCGGAGAAGAGTCTCATAAATTTGATCAGCATACTGAATGAGCATAATGAGACTGCAAGCCGAATTATCAAAGAACGATTCAGATTGAACAGGCGGTACCAAGTGGAAGGTGAGACTGTAGCAACGTTTGGAGTTGCACTGAAGCCCAAGGCCGCCAAATGTAAGTACGGCACATTTCTTGATTAAACACTACGCTGTCCAGCGACGTTCGTCGCAGGACCACAAGACTTTGCTATTCAGACGTGTCTGCCAAAAAAGAGCTGTCGTTTGAACACTCTTGCAACTTCGCCAAAAGCATTGAAATGTCCTAATAGGAGTCGAGAGGGTTTATACCTGGCAGTTGCTTGGAAGCTGACGTCCATGCGATACGGAAGTCGGGCAGAAAAGCGACATTTGTGGTCAAGCCAGTCAAGCAACGTGATGCAAGAAAGACAACGTGTCCCCTTTGCGGGCAAGAGCACGATGCTACTCCTAGTCTTTATCGAAAAGCAAGGGCTACAGCTGCAAATGCATGGGTCACTTGGCTCGAGTCTGTGGACAACGTCCACGAGGTACGAAAAAAATTCATGCCGTTGCCGAGCAGCAAGAAGATATAGAGATGATGCTCTACGCCATACATCACACCAGCCTTGAGAAGCAGCCGTATGAGGTAGAACTTATGCTTGGATGAAAGCGTATGCAGATGCAAGTAGACACAAGAGCCGCTGTTTCTCTGATATCAAAAGAATTATGGAAGCAGCTAGCGAATCCTTCGCTTGTAACACAGTGTACAGGGAAGATGAAACTTTACGGAGGAGCACCGCGTGAAGTGAAGGTGCAAGCCAAGGTTCCAGTCGAGTACAACAGACAGCGATAGATTTTACCAGTAGTTATGGTGCCAGGAAACAAGCCAGCGCTTCTCGAGCGCCATTGCATAGAGAACCTGCACATCTACCTGAATGGAATTCACACGGTGCAAGCGGATACCACGACAGACAACTTTGTGAAAAGGTATGCCAGCGTTTTCACTCCTACGCTAGAACTAATAAAGGGCTTTAAGGTGAAACTCGTTTAAAAAACGGTAGCTTTCCAGTCTTCTGCAAGGCACCTCCAGTACCATATGCCATGAGGGAGCGAGCTGAAGAAGACCTAGATATCTTACAAGCAGATTGGGTACTGCTGCTTGTAACGCAAAGTGATTGGGCCACGCCTGTGGTGCTAGTAAAAAAACAGGGAACAAAGTGCGTCTTCATGGAGACTATGAAGCTACAGCGAATCCCTGCGCTGTAGCTTCATTTTTCGCCTTCGTCACACGCTGTACGTCTATCACTCAAATCATTTGAACACAGACGTACTTGCGAGCGTATCGGCACTTTACATAAAATCGTGAACAAGATAATCACCATTGACATGCCCTTTTCCTTTGCCAACTCCGTTGCAAACACTCGCAGGTCAAACCCCATTAACATCACACCCTTCATGCCATTTCTAGATTGTTTTAAGTTTTCATTTTTTTCTTTCACAGTGGAATTGTGGAATAATCTGGATGTTTCTCTCCGAAAGTTGCCTACCAATAGTTTTTCGAATGAACTGCCAAACCATGTGTTTTGTTAGTTTAGTGTGTATTCACTGTTATGGACCCACTCCTGAAATGTCTCGAACTGTGAGACAGCAGTATTTGTAAATAAAATAAAAATAAGTGATCAGTACCCGCTACCAACTGTTGAAGACATATTCGCGGTCCTAGCTGATGGTAAACTGTTTACCATTTTGGACTTGTCGTCAGCGTACCAGCACTCGTGGCCCTTGTTGAATATAGATACACACGTCAGCATACTTGTTCGAATGCCTTATGGCATTTCCGGTGCACCAGCGGTATTCCAAGCAATCATGGACGAATTGCTAGAGGGACTAAGTGGCGTAGCTTGTCACTTTGCTGACGTGCTTATCACAGGGGCTTGCTACAACGAATATCTGTCACGAGTAGTAGTCCTGCAGTGTTTCGAGAAGCACAGATAAAGAAAATTTTTGTAAAGGTTCGTGAGATATCTGGGCCACGTCATTGATGAGACAGGCGTTTTTACGCCTGCGCGTCCACACCGAAAGTCCATGCCTCTGAAAAAGACAATCTGTGCCAAGGCCAGCACGCGGACTCGCCTGACGCGAACAACTCAACGGCGTCATCATGCGACGGCGCCGGTCTGTCGCGCAACGCTCAGCGAGCCCCCTCAGCCCACGAGCCCGTCGAAGCAATCGGTGCCTTCCAGTCTGGCAAGTCTTACGCAATGCGTGGCAACGTCACTCGTCCTTGGCTGCAACCACGCGCAGCGGCTTCGTATTTGATGAGAATGACGGGGCCCAGCGGCGAGCCCCATTGGAGGATTCTGGCCTCACGGCCAGCGGCGCTTCTGGTTGGACATTTGGTTACTCAAAAGATCCACCCGGTGCCTTAAAAATAGCCCTGCGGCGCGTCGACAGCGGTAGACCTATGTGTCAGAGAAGAGAGCTCGGCTCTTCAAGTCTCTAAACTGTCAGCCCCAGTGCCGAATTTGCAACGCCTGTCTTTCTATGCTGTACATTAACCTTTAACTCACCGTTGTCTCGTCCGCTCGTCTATCAGTTCTCCGCAGAAGTAGTCACGAGCTGAGAAACCTTCGCTACCAAACGGCTGGTCACCGTGTCGGTGGAGATCGGAGCAGTGGCGCCTTTGGGACCGTGTTGGCGTCACCGTATTTCGTAACAGCGTGCGCCCTTGCTTTGAAAAGGTGAAAGCAATTAAACTTCAACAAAGGAAAGTTTCACGGCAGTGAAAGCGTATTTTGGATGTTTGACATTTTATTC